TGCTGAAAAGCAAAGTAAGAGTGATTAGACTCACCTTACATAAACATTACATTGTATTTGTACATTCAAATGTAATTCAGCAAGTAATTCAGGTTTGTACATAAATTATTTTGGAAGAAGTAGAAGTCCTGAGAGCTAGTAATTTCAATTTTATCATAGGTACAGCAGTGTTACAAGTTTGTTTATTGATGGGGGAGTGGCAACAGGAAATTAGGTGGCTACAGTCCCAGAAGAGCTGAGATCCTAATTACACAGCTAGCTTTTACCATTTAATTAGTTCTGCTGACTGATGCTGATGCTGCTTGCACCCTCAAAGTTACTGCCTATATAAACAGCTTGCTGAAATTGGGTTCTGAACCTGCTAAAACCTGCATTTAAACAGGATTCAAAGTGTGGGCAATTGTTTATGTATTACTGCACATATCTAAATAATTTTGTTTCTCTTTTTTCCATTTGCACATCCTTCCACATCAAAATGCATTAAGCAAGTTTCTAATAACCTTTTCTGACCATGGTAGGTACACAGAGCTATACATCTTCATGCTGCAAATAAAGAATGCAACAACCAAGCTCTGATTATTCCCCGGATGTGGTCAAAGAAACCTGCATCACTGTGGAAATTCTAAACAGTGAAGCTGAGCTACATAAAGAAAATGTTATTTTGTCTGGAAGCAGCAATCCAGATGTCTTGGGTCCCTGTGAAATGCAGGCAGTATCAGTTTGTATGGGCACCACCATGCCTCCAGGTGACTGCACTCGAAGACGAGGTTATACAGAATCTTCACTTCTGAAGCTTCCCACAGAGGAGTGCATTGGGAACCATCATGCACCTTTCCAGTTTGACCGGCATGCTTTGGCCAGGATTTCCACTTCTCCAACTTTAAGGCGCCTAAGGATGGCCTCTGCCTCAGAAGCACTGTCATTCCAGGACTGCTCTGACACAGCCCAGCCAGGGAATCAAAAGGAATACACTGGCTCTCTCCACCACATTTGTAAGAGTCCACCTCGGTGCACTACTGCTTCCTCATTGTCATTGCCCTCTTGTGTTCATGCAAAACTACTCTCTTCCAAAACCAAGACTGAGACAGCTACAGCAGACCCAGAGTCTCCTGACCCCGCATCAAAGATTCCAAGCCAAAAAGATCATCTCAGCAATGGCAGTCCCAATGAGACACTCCAAAAGCCTTGGAAAGCCAATTCTGCTACACTGCCTAGGAGATTCCCCCGCCACAGCCCTACACCACAGGCGGAGGCCCAGGTAAGAGGAGTAGGATGATGCAACCTCCTTTTCAGTCATGCACATTAAGTGTTGGACCATCATGGCCCAGTGCATAAACAAAACTACAGTTCATAACCTTAACTACAACCTGGCCTTAGATACAACAGACCAACTTCTACACGCATCAGGAAGGAAGGTTTTCCCTTCCCAGTCAGCAAGAGACAACAGTTCCAGCCTTGTCTTTTGGTGACCAGGTTGGTCTTATCTGTGCCTGCACATGGCCATTCTTTCTCACTTCTGTCCATTCAGCCTGGTGGGACAGTGTAACTCTTTGTGGGATTAAGAAAAAACAGGACTAAGTAATTTATCCGGTTCTGATTGGGATTTTAGAAGATTATTTTCATTCCAAGATCCATCAGTAGGGTTCTTCCTAAGCTGAGGCAGTTCTCTATTCTGTTTTACTGAATAGCATTCCTAACCCTAAGAAAACCAACAACAAAGTAATTCAAGATGGTTGAGCCAAGTTTAAGGTTTTCCACTACCAAAGGAATATGTCACTTTCCTTTTCTTTACTTCCACTTACCTAGATCTGCCACTCACTGGCTCCCTCCATTTTTATGTTCAGCTCCATAAATAAGCAGACAATTCTGCAGTCTTTTCTGAAAAACAAACAAACAAAACCCAAACCAACAAACAAACGAAAAAAACCCCCAAAAAACACAAAAACCGAACCAAAACAAAACACAAAACCACTGGTCCAGTGATTGCCAGCACCAGTAAAGAGAAATAAGGAAGAGGGGAGCTAGCCCTCCAACTTTCCATGGTGGCAGGCTATCAAGCTATCCCCCATAACTTCACCCCAAGGAGAAAAGGAGAGGCACTGCACAAACCAGGTTTGCTACTAGTTCTATGCTCCAAGACCTTGCATCACTTGCACAGGCAGTTAAATTCAGACATGTTTGACTCAATTTTCATGAATGTGGGTGGTGTGGAATAGGTGTTTAGCTCTTGACTAACTGGTTGGCATTATGCCGTGGACTGAAAGTTATTTTCCCCCCACCATTGGGGGTGTATCTCTTCTCCCATGGAAATACAGAAAACATTCTGGATATCAAATAAGTTCTGCTCCTTTCTCCACAATTACAAAAAGAATCATTTGATGTCTAACTCCATGTGTTACATTTCTCTTAACAAATGAATACTTTCTTCACACAGATTGCTTGTTTGCTTTCTGTCTGAGTAACACAAATATCTCACTTTCTTTCAGAAAAGAGGAGTGCCTGTACGAAGGTATGCATATATTTGTTTTATCTTACTTTAAGCTTCACTTCTCTACATTCATAATGAATCTGCTTCACTCTAAAACAAAACTGAACAGTGAGGCATGTATGTATAACTCAACTTGAACTTGTAGATTTGCTTTGTGAGATGCCTGTCACCAGCTTGTTAAACTAAGCTTTTTAATAAGATTTTCTTTCAAAGGTGGCCCTCTCCCCTGACACATTTAGCTAGATTTCACACAATATTTCAGCAGGATCGTTTGAGAGCTCTGAACTAGGAAATTACTGCCAAAAGGTCCGGCTGTTTGGATTAGCAGTGTCAAATTTCAGCTTGAAGAATGTGAAACATCTCATAATCCTGAGTGACATTCTTCAAAACTTTGTGGGAGGGAAAGGGAGCAAAGAAGCTAGCAGAACAGCACAATATTGTTCTCATACATGAGCAAAGCTGATCTAGGATTGCTACTGGGTGGAGGGATTATTATCCCTACAAACTAAGAAGAATACTTGAGTTTTATAGGCTAGTGCAGGCAAGATAAAGTTTTGTGTACTGTAGATCAGTGGAGTGTTTTGCATCGAGCTCTTGCAAGTAATTATCTGAAAGTAAAGGCTTGATTGGAAATGAGTTTGATTCTGACACGTTTGTTTCTTTAAGGTGTTCAAATATTTACCAAATGGAAATAAAGCTTATTTTCTCCCCAAATAATGAGGATGCAGGAGCTAGTACTTCCCTTAATAGCCATACCTCTCTCACTGAAGGTGATCTGTATGACCCCCCCTTCAGGTGGAGTATGCAGTTGACTGAGGTATATTAAAAGCACCAGCACTGATGAGTAAGACTTGGAGAAAACAGATGCAGCCTCATAACTGACAGCAATACACTGCTTTTGTGACTCTACCATAACATGTTTCACTTGATAAGGCAATAGGCATTACTTGAGCTGTATCTCCTCTTCTTCCCAATGTTTATTCATTTTACAGGTAAAAGTTCTGTTGTAACCCGCAGTTTACAAACAGGTTGGTGTTTCAAGTGTATTTGTATTTGGGACTGGGTGAGCTGGAGCAGGCTGATAGAGTCTGAGTCATTACACAATGCAGTTCCGTAGGTAATGCTTAACAGGTGTGTGTGTGTGCATCTGAAATCTCATCTTCACTGTAGAAGAGGCCTCCTAGAACACCAGCTCAGGTATTGGCTCTGGACTTCTATCTGGACACATTTTAAAATCAAGAAATCACATAAGCAACAATGCAATCTTTGTTTGACAGCCACCAGCAGGAAACATTGAGAAAAGGATGTTTGGATGATGGGTTTTATTTCTTGTCCTGGTCAATGTAAGAATGTGTAGAAATGTAAAACAAAAATCACCAGTTTCTGCTTTAAACTTTTTTGTTAAGTTGAATTTGGTCCAAGGTCTAGGCAAGTGCTGTGTTCAGCTCCTCCTTTATCCAAATCATTAGTACAGCTCCTTAACAGCTAATCCCTTCTTATCACAGCCAAACAAAACTGCTGAAATGTCAGATTATTCTCGCCAACAAGAAGCGCTTTGGGATAGCTGACAAACCTACCCCAAGACTGACGTGTATATTGTCCAGGGTACAAACATACCTCCATCCTTCATTTTTAATGAACATCTCCCAGCTCCCAGGCTGTACGTTCAAAAGTCTCTCTTAGAGCAGCAGTGTTCATTTTTAACAGATTTCCCCAACACATCCCTCAGTCAGGATTGCCACCACATCTCTGTTGGCATGGCAACATGCTGAACTGATGCTGATTAAAAATAACCAGCCTAAATAAATAAACAAAAGGACCAGAAAGGCAACACAGAGAGAGGTGTGTGTGGTGACAGAGTGCGATGCTAAAGCCAGCACTGCCATGGAAGGAAATGTAGATAAATCAAAACCTTTAGTTTACTCTGAGCTCATTTTCTCCTTGCTGCCTTCCCTGAGTGGCTCAAGTAACCACCTGGCAGTTATCTCAGTGCTGTGACCACCCTATAATGATGACCCTTGTAACCTATTCAGTTGCTTTTATTCTCATGTAGTAAGCATTCCTTTGCATAACATATCTGTTAGTCAGGTATGACTTATGTAGATAGATCTGTGCCCTGGGACATCTGAAGGTCTAGTTAAGCTAAAATTATGAACGTGTCAAGATACAGACATCTAAAAAGCAATCAGCTGAAACTCTGTGCCCTAGAAACAACTGTATACCCAGGATATTTGTTTTTCCAGACCATAAGCTGCTTCAGCATCTTTAGTAATTTTCCATTATTTTGTAATGCAAACCTGTGACATTATCTTGCTTCACAAAACAAGTACCTTTAAAGGAGGAATTATGATTTCTCCTCAGGTGCTTAAGCTCATCCCTAAAGTACAAACATTTCTACTTTACCTGTCTGCCTCTAATAAGAAAAACAGAAAATTAAAAAAAAAAAAAAAAAAAAAGGCAAAACTACAGGGTCTGCAGGCATGAAAAGATGAAAAAAACACATCGCATACAGAATCAAAAAATAATAAGTTGCATCACAGCATGTCAGTAGTTTCATTTCTTCAGTAAAACAAACAAGAGCATCTAATGTATCTAATACATCTACAGGCAACGAGCCAGGTGATCGCAGGTACCTGTACCTCCATCTGTGAAGCATTAATACATAATTTAGGCATGTAAGTAATTGATCATACTAGGCATGTTAGATTGCAAAGGTATATTGTAGCTACATATCCAAGTGACCTTGGCACACTCACATACTTCACAGGCTTGCAAACCTATGTGAAAAGCTTGTTTAGGTCTATGTGTCTCTGAAGTTCAAGGCCTTTTTGATCTAGGGAAATAAAATCATTTGACTCAGTCACAATTAAACTGTGATTCCCATTAGTAATCTTCACAAGTGACTGGCCTCCATCTTCAAAATATATTCTGCAATTGAAGCAGGCTAGATACTTTAAGAATCAATAATATTTGGCAAATTTTTATTGTGAATCCAGCCTGAAATAAATCTCCTGAATTTCCCATTACAGGACTGACAAATTTTGGAATTATCCTTGTATTATATTGCAGCATCTGTTTTGTGTAATAATCCAGCTGCCCAAGAGATTGCATGGTGGAATCACTAGAGGTTTCAGAAGCATCTTCATGCCATTGTTACCAATACTTAAAACTTGCACTGGGGAGCACTCAGTGTACCTCATCAGGAAGTGGTCTCCCTTGCACTCATATGGGCTTGGAGACAACCAAAAAACAGTCACTGTCCATAAAAGCTTTAAACCATGTATCAGGTTCAATTTCATGAGAAACTTTGGAGATTCATTGTAAATTCCTAAAGTTAAATAAAACAGATCCTATATATCCCATTCAGTAGGACTAGTAGGAAAGAAAAAGCTTTTAGAGAGCTCATACATTGCACACCATAAACTCCTCAACGCTTAGTTTTCAAACTGGTGTTAAAGTCCCAGACCTGGCCCTCCTTACCTCCTGGCACACAGCCCTCTCTTGTTGTTAAGAGCAGATCTTTCCTTTCAACTATACAATTCAATTGGTTTAGCTAAAGGAGTTGCAAGCAATGTCACCATCAGATCATAACAAAAAGCATGTCTTGCTATACATAGCGCATCTCAGTTCTCTGCCTCAGAGCTGCTAAGTTATCAAGGGAGTATTCACGTACTTAAGGGGGAAAAGATACCTGCCAGGTTTCATATCAAGTGTTGGCAAATGGCTACGTATTTCCAGTAAGGTATCTGCCTAGAAAAAAAAAGACAATAGGAATTACATCTAACTCACAAAAATACACAATAAATGGTGACTAAAAAATGGAATTTTTAGATATGTACAAAGACTCCTTCAGCACCTGCCTCCTCCTTTAGCTACTTAATTACAGACCCTTTGAACTCTCATGCAGTCTTCAGCATGAGTCAAAATTCACAACATCTAAAAAGGTTTTCGATATGCACCAATAATTTCTGTATTTGAATGCAAGCAGCCTCTGGCACAAACACACTGTTGGATACAGAATGCCTGTGTCACTTCACTTGATGGATCTACATCCTGGACAATACCCTCTGTCAGTAACCACAATAGCTGGAAGGAGCCATTTGTTTTCTATCAGCAGGGCCACTAAGTCATATTATATTCAAAACACAAAATATTTGAATTAGCAGGAAAAAAAACACTGAAACGATTTAGAAAGAAATTAGCATGAACTAGCCAAAAGGTTAAATATTTAAAAGAAAACCAAACAACATTTAAACTCTTTCACTAACTTGCTGTCTTTTCTTGAAATCACCTGAGTTGTATGAAGGTAGAAAGTAATGGCAGCCCACATATCAGGTAGGGACATCATATTTTGCTGCTCCCTTGGACTCCAGTGCCAAAATGTAGATTCTGAAATCTCCACTCACTTTTACCTAATCTCAGAAGAACCCAGGAATTACCAATATTTCAATTCAGTACCTGTTATGTTAGGTAAACCAAGGCCATAAGCACCTTGATCTTAGCAACAGGATGGAGTTGGGAAGCAAGTTAGATATTTGCTGTCAATCACTAAAATATTTTGCTCACTTCTTCTTTTAACACATTATGTCATAGCCACTGTGACTTGGGTTTTTAGCTCATTTCCTCCTGTCATTAGCAAAGAGCACTTCAGAAGTTTCCTCTGCAGCCCTGAGCAGAGAGAGGTGACGTGTTGTTGTTGCATCTCACAGGTCAGCCGAGCGCAGACGCAGCTCTGTGGTAGTGAGTCTGCCGGGACTCGAGGTGTTCCCTGGAGACCTTCTGGTGTCAGACAGTGTCATGGACCACCTACCCCATGCGGCCCTGCTGCTAAGTGCAGGTCAGACACAGGGTCGGGTTTGCTTGTCTGGGCAAAGCAAAAAGCACAACTAGAAGTTGTGCGTGTGGGTGGGTGGGGAGGATCAATGCAAGGATGACATGCAAGGCAGCACAGCTGCCATGAGGGATTCTGGTACCCAGCACCAAATTGACCACACCACTAATTTTTAAATTCTCCTCTATTTTTAAATAATTTGTATAATTCTTTTATTTTGCTGAGTGTGAAATGTAAGAGGTAGTTGAGGGGAGCAGGACACAGATCACCTCCTTCCTCCAGGGACTAGGGGCAACCAGAGCCCAGGCCAGGATCTGCATCTGCAAGAAGTTGAGTTACAAATTTGTGCCTGCACAGCTTCAAGAAGAAGGAAGAGAGTGGTCCATGCCACCCTCCCCAGCAGCACGCTAATCGTGAGTGTTGCAAACCTGGCTCCTGGCTAGAGGTTGCTCACAAGACCATTCAATACTGAAATGCAGACCTGCAAGCAATTTCCACAAATACCCATTGTGGAGCATGGTATAATGTACAGTGTGATTGCCGGACACCAGAAGATGCTGGCGACCAGAGATCAAAATTCTCTCAAAAACAAATGAGCCAAGGTCACAACCAGAAGTTTCATGAAAGCCAACAAGCCAGGCGTTCCCAGGAAGGATAACCAAGGCCTTCCACATCATAAAGACAAAAGTTTCATCTGTGATTCCCAGCCACACACAGCCGACATTTAGAAAACAAACACAGGAATTCCTCACCTCTCACTACTGCATTCCTAACTCTAGATTCCCAGCTTTCCCTGTGCCACACTGAGGACCATGAATCACAGCCTGCATCACTGTGCAAGTCCTATAACAGATCTGAGGCCTAGGATTTGTAGGACTGTTTATTCACAGGAGTTTTAAATACCTGCGTATCTCCAAGGTAACAGTAATGAGCAGATACAGCCTAATTCTTGCTTCAAAACAATGGATATCTTCAAAAATTGGCCTGAGTTATGATGCATTTTCCCATGTAAAGAATTGTCAATCACACACAGATCATCTGCAGCAAGTGGGAGTGTTAAGCATCATCCAAGATCCCATCTCAGATAGACATAATTCATGCTGGGAGGAAACCAACAGCCTTAATGGGTTTTAAGGCTGGCACACAAACTGTCTAAACACAAGTATTACATCTGAGCAAAGTGGAGTATATCTAAAAAAAAAAAACAAACTAAGAAAAAAGCATATAAATAACAGGTTTGGTTTTAGCTAGTTGTTTCTTTACTGATAACATATTTGTTCTACCCATCAGAGTCCAAAAAGCCAAGGTGGCCATTTGCAAAAAGAGGAGTTGTGAGTATTTAATCATGTCTTTTTTTCTTTGCACTGACCTTGCCTTTTCACACAACTAACCTGGGTAAAAAATGTTCCTTCTCTTTACTGCCCTTGGGACTCCTTGGGCATTAATCTGCCATGAAGGTTGGGTGGCCCCAGTGCAGCCACCAGTGCTTCTGTCCGTGATAGACATGAAAACACAGCTAGTGCCACTGCCCCTGAGATGCTCAGAGTGCTTTAGATGCTTACATGCCTTTTTAGGTGCTTTCTTAGGCTTTTCCTGTCCTTGTGGGTACTCTCTAGTACAAGCATACATACCAACACACTTCAGTTAATTTCTTTGTCTAACACATTCCCTTGTCGTTTTCCGTTGTGAAAATTTTCACTTGCTATGGTATCCAAATGTCCTTTTTGAGTGTCATTCATCATTCAAAAAATAACTTGCACATGTCTTGATAACTTTGCATGCCTAAACATATGATTGTTTACAGTCCCTTTCCAATACTTTTTGCATTTTATATTCAAAATCACAACTATCAAAGAAGAGTTTGTACAAGTGAAACCAATGCAAGTGCTCAGATTAGCTTCATCTGATAGCATTTCTGCAGCCTTTGAATAAGCATGGGCTTAAACTGAGAATTTTTAAGTTCAGGAAAGTATTTGAAACTCACATTAAAATACATTTAATATTTAGTCAAAGTGATTTCTGAGACCATTCGATGCCAAAAAAAATAATAATGAAGATTTATTTGCTGGTACATTAGTTAAATGTGCATATATACAAATGTATTATTGTTTCTGCTTCATTTCAAGCTATCTTTAAAAACTAAGAATTGAGATTAAACTCAAATTTCAAATATTATAATCAAGCACATATGTCAAAATTGGCTTGAGTTCAGTGCCTAAAGTTCAGACAATAGGAATCCATGAAGCATAGGTATACAGCTCCAGAAAGCAGATAAAATTTAGCCAAATTTAGGTCTATGCTCACAGCACTGAATTTGAGTTCATAAATATTAGTTAAACTTTCTGCATGTCACTGTTGGCCTGAAGAGCAAAGCTAACCTAAAAGCAATTGTCTGTGTGAGGGATCATGAAATGAATACAAACTCCTGCTGTTTCAGCTTCCTAAAACCTCATTTTCTAGACACTACTCTGCAGCTGACTAAAGGAGTTTCTTCAATACATAGCTCAAATAAAAAAATAAAAATAAAAATAGACAAACACTTAAGCTTTGTATACCTATAGCAGAAGGATTATATCAACTATAAGTTGATAGTGCTGAAGGAAGCAAAATACTTTATTTGTTCTGTCTCCTGAGGGTAGCACCTTCCCTGTTGCCATACCAATGATTTGGCCTGCCAAAGGCTTCTGTGTAACAAAAACAAGATCTTACACATCAACACCTAAGCCACCTACACACCCCACCCTTAGCTACAAATAAATCTGCCATCAGTGCCTCATCTCTGTGTAGGAGAGCCTGGAAATACAAGGATATATCTCTCAGTCAAGTGCAAGCTCCTCACAGATCAGAGCAAGGTTACTGAGCTGGGTAAACTTCTTACTGGTCTTTATAACATTGTATGAATCAGGGTTTTGTGGTTTTCTTTTCATTCAACAGGGTAAAGACAAACAGAAGCAAGCATCTGATCTGGAAAATTGTCTTTCAACCCTGAAGATCGTCGACTGCAGCTCATATGAATTTTACTGCTTTAAGGTATCAAAATACTCCAGGATACTTAAAGATGGGAATAAAAAATGTGTGTTCAAGTTACAGTTTTTCGCTACATAAATCTGTACACGAGACGTTTCTGCAAAATTAATGCAGCAAGCATAAGGCATGTTTTTGTTGTTTGAAATAGAGAGAAAAGAAGGAAACTGTGGGTGTTGCAGAAGGTTAGCAAGAGCCCTCACAACCACCTGGATATTGGCAGAATTCGAGACTGCCCTAGATGAGGGAGGTGCCACCTTCAGAAGAAGGCATCAAGACAACTGTTAGTAGTACCTGCAGATTGTTAAGAACTCCTGTCAATGCCTAATTTGTATGCCCCTGTCTGACTTGGGAGCAAGTCAGTAAGGTGACAGTGATCACTTTAGGACAAAATAAACCAATACCTAATTACCTATGAAGTTCTAGTCCCTTGGTACCTTGATTTTACCAGCTGGAAAATACAAAGCTATCATCTAACCCTGCTTTCCAGTAGCAGCAGCAGCACAACAGATGAAATTCCTTAGCACTTGCCAGATGTCCATTATTTTTCGATACAGCATCCTACAAACAGAGTGTCATCTGTGCTGCTTTCAAACTCAACATGTTTATATTATAAATATTTTGGAGGGAAATATCACATTTTTTAATCTTTTTAGAGAAATATTTAAGCCTTCAGAAGAAGAATCACTAAAACTGTCAGCTGGTCTTTTATGTGGGCAAGTAGATCATAGGTTCTTTTCATAAGGTCTGAAGCAGTTGTTGCCATAGTCGGTGGTTTTCTTTCTTCTGCAATCTACAGAGTAAATCTTGGCATGAATTTGTAAAGGCACAACAGACTGAGCATAAAGATGTCGACAGCCAGTTAGAAGTGAAAAAAGAAGCAGCAGTGTGGGAACTTTTCACAAGTGAATGCACTTACTTTCTGGATCATTTGTTGGTTCTCAAGACGGTAACTTCAGATTTCATTTATCAAAAATAATGAAACATTATTTGCCCTGTTGTCAGCACGGCAGACATAAAGCCACCTGTAACCTCTCATTGTGTGTCTTCAGGGGAATGACGTAAGACTTTGGGTTTTCTCCCATATTGCCTGGTCATCGTGTTTCCACAATTCACTTTGGTTTTTATCTTCTTTAGTATGAGGGTGATGAGACACTGGAACAGGTTGCCCAGGGAAGTTGCAGAAGCCCCATCCCTAGAAGTGTTCAAGGGCAGGTTAGATGGGGCTCTGAGTGGGAGGGTACCCCAGGGGAGTTCAGGGGAGTTGGAACTAAATTATTTTAAAGGTCCCTTCCAACCCAAACCATTCTGTGATTCTTCATGGCATCTCTTACTCTGGACATTACTTTCTAGTGCTTTGCAAACTTTTCAGCTATTTCATCTGATACAACACTATTCCTCTCACTAACACTGAATTGAAGCCACTCTCCAATTTCCTATACTGAATAATTCTCTACCACTAGTTTGTAACATTGTACTCTTAATTTAACTTCATGTAAAGCTGTGGCTGGATGATCTGCACTGGAGCATGAAAACCTCAGAATTCCACAGACCTGTAGTTTTATCATACAAGAAAACAAGCAAAATAAAGAACAATTCCTTTCCCAAAATCCCCAGATCTCAGAAGATTAAAAACAGGTCAATCCTGGGAAGGATGTGGTTAACAGGAGACATGCAGGCCCCTGGATGAATCTGATGTAGGAACCACAGACAAGCCCTGTGTGGCTCATGAGTGATGAAACAGTCAGTCCATGCTAGTTTCCCAAACTATCCTGCCTAAAAAAAGAACCCATTGAATTTGATTAGCCAGTTTTACAGATACCTGCTACTCTAAATACTTCCCAGTATAGAAATATTCCACTGATTTTAATGAACCTCCACAGGGAACTTTAAGGCCCTTTAAGTCCCCTTTATGTCAGCTGTTCATGGCAACTGAATAATTACACAAAGCTAAGCAAACGCTTTCTCTAGCTCATAGTCTTGGCACCTGGGTGATGTTTTTTTCATTTAATACTTTTCACACATATAGAAAAAAAACTTCTACTTGGTAATTACTTTTTTTAAAGCCTTTTTCAGATGTAAGTCAGATTCGGCAAAGCTCCAAGATCACTGTCAGAGTTTAAATAATGTTAAATATTAAAAAGCCAATAAATACGCATGCAGTTTTCAGTCCATACAGGTTAATAAAACAGTCCAAAGAGATGAAAAACCTTAATGAGCCTTCTACTTATTCCAGCTATTTTTTATTTTTTTTCCCATAGTAACTCTCAAAAATTACATAGCAGCAGGTACAAGGTAGGAAAGCATTTGGAAAGGTCACAGAAATCTATAATTATGACTTTGATGTAATTAATTCCTTCATGTGGCTCTACAGGGAGCTGAGTTGCCCCTCTTCTTCTGTAGAGCACTGCAGAGACAAAGATGCCTTCATGGCAGCCACAAACACCCCACAGGCATCACTCATACCCTCCTTCTCACACAAAACTCAGCAGTTACCTTTCAGGCAGGTCAGAAAAAGTTTCTCAGAGTGTCTTTTTCTACCCTTCTCATATCAAATTACCATGGCAATTATAGTGCAAATGTTCAAGGGGAAAAACCAAAACAAACAAACAAAACAAAAACAAAACCCACAGATACATGGAATTGACACAAATAGCAAATAACATGGATTTGGATGTGTTTGGTTTTTTTTAAGATATTTGTGAACACACTAAAATACCTCCAGAGTAATGAATTTCTCTTGGATGTGGATTTGTGGAGACTTTTCGCAAACTTAGAGGAGTTAAACAAGGTGAGTAAAAAAATAAAAGTCTTACTAAGATCCAAAATCAGCCAGCACAATGAAAGGAAATTAGAAACAATCCATAAGCTTCTATTCAGATTCCATGACCACATTTGGAACTTAGTTGAAATCATCAGGCTTTCCTTCATTTCTATTTGGTATATCAGTGCGGGCCAAATTTCACCAGTGCAAATTATTCACATGTGCCTTCAGCAAAAGATAAACAGACATTTGAACATGGGTAAGAGCTCATTTGGAAGTCATTTCTGACGGGAAGAAGAGTTTGAGCCTAATTTTCAAAATCAGCATCCTTTTAAAAGGATTTGTGAAGACCAAGTGCAACTGCACAATCCATACAGCAAAACAGTTAAGAATGCAAAATAACTACAATAAAATGTTTCCTTTTGTGAACAGATGGGCACAAAGACTTCGCTATCTGTTATGTCACTCCACTATAGCAAGTTACAACAAAATTATGATCACCTCTCTCCAGCTGGGGTTTCTCTTTGTGTGGGTGGGTATCTCCCACACAGATTGGATGGTCTGTGTTCATGTGCTACTTACACTTCAGCTTCCAGGAGGAGGGCAACCACTCCAGCTCCTTGCCGCTTGCAGCCGGCTGTGGAGAGACCATTTTCAGCTCCTGAAAGTTAAAGGAACCCATACATCAAAATAATTTTACATAACTTTAGAAAAAAACCCAAAAAAACAGGAGCTTTTCTTAGCTCAAGAGCTTTTTTACATGCCACCCTACCCTTACCAGCAAAGTGAATTTTTGGCAGGAGCTCTTCATCTGCATAGTTTGCATGGCTGCTCACAATCACATCACATGCCCTAAACTAATTGCTTCCTTCAATTTCTTTTCCATATAGCAATTCCTTTGCCTTAACAGTTAACATCTCCCTTTTTAGCCAAAATGAGAAAAGCAGGAAAGCTCTTCAGAGTAGGGACAATTAGCCAGAGCTCCAACATATGAGAAAGTCACCTCTGCTCAGTGACTGACCACACCCCAGGTGAGCTGCTGTGAGTGAGCACCTGAGCAGGTTTGGTGGTACAAGGAAAGAGGCTTTTTACTTGATGTGTTTCACCCTGCCCGTGTTGTGGGCTGACTACCCATGCAGCCAACTACTAGAGTTCAGTTGATGTCTGGTTGCTGCTTCCTTCATACTTGTTCAAAAAAAGGAGTGGGCTGTATTGCTGTGTGCCATTTAGCAACCACAAAAGCTTTGAGCTTGGATGAAGGATGGTCAAGCCTTGAGAGAATTATCTTTAATACACTTTCTATTTCTGTTTTCTGATTTTATTGTTCTTATTAACAAGGATGATAAATGTTCATTTATTATGCACACTGGTATATAAGCTGGTAATCACATATAGGAGAAACTAGATGCTGTCAGTGGCTATAATGCCTGTTTTCCATGCATTTTACAGCATGCATTTTTTCTTGGCAGCAGTCTGAATCCATGGGAAAAATGTATGCTGTAAAAGGTGTAAAATACACCCTTGTCAAAATGAAAGAATAAGCAAGCATCACCCTATAAGCAACCCTGTCCCATAAATACACCAAACACAGCAGTTTGTGCAGCTACAACAACTATTCACAGCAGTATCACAGAGGAGGATGTTCCATTCTGGTCTAAAATCTGGCCTACACCTGAACCTGGTAACAAATTTGTGTGCAAACAGTGTGTTCAGGAGGCAAGAGTGTGCTCAGGAGCAGGCTTTTGTCCACTTCTGACAGTGTGCAGCACCCTTAAATCCTGTGCAAGCATATACAATTAGCTTATGGGGAATATGTGACTTTGTATAGCATTTTATAGAAATTTCCCTCATCACAAAATCTAACTATGAAAGATTGTATCTTCTTCAAACGACCATGAACATTCCCTTAATTTTCACAGCTCTGTCATACACTATCAGTGCTTTCCAGTAGATGCCATTCATCCACTGTAATTTTTCATGACAATTCATGTTAAACACAGCTGCTATACTAAAATAAGTTTGAATGGAATAACTAACCTTGTTTCAAAGCTTTTGTCATATGACATTATCATGACATAAGTGGGTATTTGTATAGATTCGTTTCCGCTTCTGACTAATTAAAGCATTCCAGGTGTAATTCTGAAGCTAATTCTGGCAATGTCAGGGAGGTAAGGATAGGCACCCCATTGGGCTTGGAGCCTTTGAAAAGGCCAGAGATGGGAAATAAAGTTTTTTTAAGCTGAACTTCAAAAGATTACTAATGCTAATTTCTCTTTGTCCTCCCTCCCCCATTTATTTAGATAAGTCTCAGTTTTCTGAAAACATTTTTTGAAACTGTGAAGGAGCATGTCAGCAAGTCAGGCTCTCCTATGGATTTCAGCTCCATGCTCAGAAAGGTAATGTAATAAGGAGTATTTTTGCTAAATATCAGTAGGTCCTTGCAGCAGATCTTTTATCATAGCATGCAGGTGCTTTAGAGCAATCAAGTCAGTCAAGGATATGCCATCAGGTCACAGGCAGTTTGGTCTCAGCCTCAAGAACCTCCTGCCAGTTGGATTTATTTATTTTTTTAATTATTATTGGGTGGCATGTTTGAGGTGGTCATAGAAAGATGCTCTGAGAACAGTGTGGGAAGAATTTCTCTTCCTGGGGAACAGTAGCCCAAGAGCTAGAGGAGACTTTGCCACCAGCAGAGGCAAGTTTCCCATTCTGTGGAAGATGTTTACTCGAGACCAGATCTCAGCCCCATTGTTGGATGTTCCCTACCTCCTTCTACTCCATTGCATAGATCCTTCTTTTACTCCATGGACCAGACTCACAAGGGTATTTAGGTGTAACTGAGAGCTCAATGGGATTAAAATATCTCTTATACTGTGTCTGTGCCTGTGTCTGCTAAGCAAGGCACAGCTGTCCTGCCACTGCCAAGCACAGCCCTGCAGCCCTCTGGGGCAGTCTGCATGGTAAACAAGACAGTTGACCAAACAGCAGTCTCCAGGGGATCTTCTTCCTGCATAATTTGCCAGTGACTGAAAAGCTGGAAATATTAATACAGACAGAAAATTAATTTATGGACCTGAACTTTCCTTAGCAGTAGAGGCCATTTGAAAACTTCTGGAAAAATACTGAAACAGACCCCTACCTCAGGGTTAGGATTTTAAAAAGGGAAAGGGAGGCTGGAGCTTGGCTTCTCACCCCTGTTACCTCTGACTTCGGCATCCACATCAGTAATGGTGGTGAGAGAGGCAAAATCCCAGACAAAACTGAGTTTTATCATGGATGGCACTCAACATTTTTAAGAGCTTTCTAACACAGAAGATATAAAGTGATGTGCTGCATGAGGCCATGTAAAGCCATTGCATAGGTAGTGGGCTTTATCTTTGGATTCTGCATGAATTTCACATCATTTATTCCTAATGAGAATAAAGTCTAAGAATGCTTTCCACCTCTGCAGAGCTGCTACAACTGTGCTCCAATGTGTTGCTTGGGCAGTTGTAGGGTTTTTTACTACTTTTACTACTTTTTAACTTTACTTTTCTAACTCCTCCTCTCCCTTTCCTAGGTAGAAGGAAATCTCAGGTAAAATGCACATTACAAAACCAAAACTTGTTCCTCCCTTTGTCCTGACATTCTTCCTTCTTGATAAGTTTCCAAGTTTTTCTGCAGTTTTTCCAGGGTGACCTCTGCCAGACACACCAGATTTATTGCCTCAATTATACCTCTGCTGTCTTCTACTTGGAAAACCTGAGACAGAGAGAAGATTTTGGCATCTACCTGAAAGTAAAGTGATGGTTTTGTTGTCATTATTGTCATTGTTGTTGTCTTCAGGCTTTCTGCCTTATGACAGGATTTTAACAGCAGACTAGAATAATTCATTTGAAGCAAAACTCTGTAGATAGAAATTTACACAGATTTTTGTACTGCAGATGGTATCATAAAGTAATTCTGAGTGTATGTTCCTCTGCACGTTAAAGTCCATACTTGTAATTTAGGTCAGGCAAGAAGGGGAACTAAGGGGAACACCTGGCTGCATTTTTGCAGGCAGAAAATATGTACTTCCAGCCTATGTCATTCAGATATTTCACATATAAACCCCTGCCTTCATGAAAGTGAAAAGGCACAAAAATCAAGCCACACTAAAATCTCTCTCAAGTGTTTTTACTTTGATACATGTCCTACATATCAGCTTGGTTTAGATGTTGGTTGGGAACACAGTATGTAGGATTTTATGTGCTTTAGCAGACAGCAAGACTCACATTCTCTGATTAGAAAACAGCCTCCAACCCATCTTATGCCACATCAGCAATTACATAAACAAACCTCAAATCTGGAAAAGAGTATGATGGTCTTCTGCTTAAGGAGAATGTTTCCCTCAGGAGGAAGCAGCATCCTGGGTAGAACAGCCAGCAACCTCAGTGCAATGGCAGTGGTTTATCTCCTCTGACAGAATTTGCTTAACCAGACATAAAGAAAAGTTATAATTTGATACCAAAACACCACCAGTAGGGAGCATTTACCTCCTTCAAAGGCTGAAAAGTACTATCAGTGATGTCTTTCTAAAGTTAAAGCACTTAGGACAGGTTCTGTCTTTGCCAACACCACATGTGCCTGAAGCAACAACTCCAGCCAGTGCAGTCGTGAGGCTCCTGGGAAGAGGGCTCTGCTCCTTCTGACTTACAATTAGCAGACCAGCGTGTCCTTAAAATTGGTCTTCAACATTTCAGACTTAGAAAAAGAAACCTGAGGAAGTGGGCTCTTCTCAAAGGCAACTGCAAAACTGGGAGGACACCTCTTTGTAGCAGCCAAACTCTGCAGCTTTTTGGGCCTGGGAGAGTCACATTGCTTGCTCCCTGACAAGGATTTCATACAGTCATGCCTAGGAAAATGTTCCCCACTGGGAAGGAGCAGCGTGACCCTAAAACATAAAGTGGCCCTCAAACATAACTGAGGTTTTCCTGATGATTAAAATGGCACATAAATAAGAATACTGCTTGGTCTGCTAGCATGGCCACACTATCTGAAATGGAGAGCAGCAAAGCAGAAAGAGAATCTGGAGGAGCGACGTGAGTCCTCCTGTAGAGAGCCTTTAGGCTGCCCTTGCTCTCACTGTGTGATAAGTTTGTCTTTAATTAGTCCCTGTCTCATTCCAGTCAGCTGGTGATGCAGAAAACTGTATTGCTGCCTCCCTGCCAGGGAGTAGCTGAAGCCTAAGGCTGATTTTCCTTGTCTTCAGCAGTGGTGTGAACAAAACAAACAGTGCAAGAGGCTGCATCTGCCTGAGCTGCTGGTCGCTCCTTTGCATCGACTGACACGCTACCCACTCCTCCTTAACAACATCTGGAAGAGGAGCACTGACCAAACAGAGAAAGGCTTTATCTGGTCACTTAAAGAGAAGGTGGAAAAGTCCATATGTAAGTAGCTAAGGTTAGAAGTCGAGTGTGCAATTAAGAATTAGCAAGTTTTGTGGCCTTTTTGTGTATGTCCTTTGAGTGTGAATGGGTCTGGTGTTCCTGCAGAGATGCAATGAGGATGTGCATGCCTTTCTACAAACCTGAGCCCTTCCTCACTCTATAGGAAATTATTGGTACCACCCTTGTGCTGTCAAAGCCTCTCTGAGCAAGGTCACAGGACTTCCAAATTAGTGAGTCACTTGTATTTGCTCAGAATCATCTGCAGTTACATGAAAACAATTAAGAGCAGATCAACATATTAGTACAAATCAAGAAAGATCTGAAACAAAGAAGTCTTTGAGTTGGCTTTGTGTCTAAAGAGGATATTTTTAGGCTAATCCTTAATAGGATAAAATTGCACTCACAAGGGGAATGTTATGTCAGTGACCTTTCACTAAATGAGAGGGTCCCACCATATAACATAGTTGAAGAGCTATCTCAGCTACAGATTTTCTCTAGCTATTGGGGGGGGGGGAGGAGGGGTGGGCGGTTAGTCCAGGAATACTTTTTTTCCCCTGCATTTGTTTCAAGTAAATAATTTCTTAATTCTAAATCATTTATTAAGTCAGTCTTGTTCAGGAAGCTAGAAATGCATTTCTAAGTGTCTTATGATCATGTAGTACCTCAGCATCTAAGTTCATTCCCCAGAAACCTCGTGCAGCCCCCACTGAAATCAAAGACAAGACAGTGCATCACCAAAACACTTCTGCTGCCAACCTTGCAAGGGAGAGGTGCCAGGCAGCACTTCATTCTCACCTACAGCACACCAGGGCCTTGAGCCACCCATCATAGTGGCTTGCCTCTGCCACCATCCTTCTCCCTGTCCTGGAGGCTCAACATCTCCTTGGGCAGAGATCAAATTACCTTCTAGAGACATAAATCTGGGGCTCTTTCTTCTTGGGTAGACACTCCAATGACACAATTACCCCCTAAAAGACAGACTCAGGTTCTTTTTCTTCTTGCCAAGTCTTAAGAGGAGTCCACTCTAATGGCCACCAAAGGAGCACACTTTTTGGCAGAGAATAGGTCCCATAGGAAAATAAGATTGTTTTGTCACTAGTCTGGGGACTTCTGCTGGGGGAACAGCAGTGTTAGATATGGCCCCAAAAGGCTGTGGCATATCTGTGGAATATTAATGGCAAAGAAATAGGTCATCAGAGTTTAGATACCTCTGGGCCAAGGAAACTAAGGATGGAGGAGTGACCTCTCTTTATTCACAAGCATATGACAAAGGTCAGCCTTCATTTTTTCATCAGTGAACTAGTGACAGAAGGAATAGTTGCAGTTCCAGCATTCTCCTTCTGGTCAGTGTGTGGGGGGGTGTGAAGTCATTGTTTGCAATATCACTTAACACAAACCTGGAATTTAAGTTGCATGTCCATTCAGGCTTTCCTCATAGTGGTCTGAATCAGCAAGGACTTAGTCCCCATTTATCACATTCAGAGGTGCCCCCACCCAGTTATATACAATCACTTATGGCATGACTTCCTCTGAAATTAATTCTCATTCATTTCAAGAGTCTTTTGATGAGGTTATATGAAACAAAAAGTATTTTTCACTCAAGACCCCGGTTTAGAAAGTCAGGATTTTTTTCTAAATAACTTTTTAAGACTACAGTTGAATTGAGTTTTATATTATTCCCCCTCTTACACAGTCAGATTAGCAAACACAACCTTTTCACTTAGCAGTGAATTTAAGGATGTTTGAATGCATGAGTCAAAATTTGGGCTCTGCTGACCTGAAAAGATTTTAGGTATGTTTTACAATGAGGCCAAGATTTCATCTGGGGTCTCACACCTGAGGTGCTTTGGCTTCCACAGGAGACAAATCAGTATTCAGCATCTTCTAGAAACAAGAGTGTTTTCGCCAGCCTTGGCAGTAACTGATGTTTTACATATTTCAGGGGATCTGGAAGGTAAAGTCAAGTGGTTGGACAACTTTCAGAAGTTCAGGCAGCTGCAGGAGGTCATAATTTGGCCTCAGGTCTGGGATCGTGACAAAAGATTCTTTGTCCCAGAGGTAAGCACTTTTTTAAACAACATTTTGTCTTTATAGCATGGTCTACAGGTGGCTGGTTGCCTATATTTTAGTTACTGGGGATCACTCTGCTCTAACAGGAGCAGCTCCAGTGTGGGCACTGCAAATGCTGTAGCTGAACACACAGGCTGGGCACAGGATAGCAGCATGGGTTGCTCTCAGCTAGCATCCAAGCGAGTACCACCATATAATCCAGGAGGACTCTTTTGCTTTTAGAGGGCAGAATGAAATGGGAGAAATGTAAGTATTACTACCCTTCTGTAAGGTTACAAAGTAGAAATTATTTGCCTCAAGCTGAGCTGAATAAATTCCTGTTTACTTTTAAATAGCATTACAAAAATATTACACAGCACACCTGGGAACACATGCACCTTTCTGCTGCAGTTACCACCTTACCCATACCAGACAGACTTAAAGCAGCATTATGGTAACATCATCAAATGGATCTTACCCCAAGGATTATGTCTGTCCACATGCAGGGCTGAAAAAAACCATTACACTCAAGACAGAAAAGAGAAACCCAGGTCAACATTTCAAAAGCAGAAACACATTTAAGCAACAGCCCTGCTGAAGAAACATAGCCATGCTCACTTATTAACTGTGTGATGTATTCAGCTGGAAATAAGAACACACATGTGCTCTGTTTAACTGCTGGTTGCCTCCCAGTTTATCATCAGATATGCAAGATTCTCCATCCTCTCTCTCTCTCTCTCTTTTTTGGGTCAAGTGCTTGAAGCAAAGCCTAAAAGAAAACAGCAGTGAAAACGTTTTGTCTTCAGCAAACAGACTTCTCCTTCATGAAGGGAGGCTAACACTAGCAGGTAACATCCCTAATTGTCCTGGTGTGATGAATTAGTCTGACGGAAACATATTTAGCCATGGCAGGACCAGTATGAACTTCTGCAGCAGTCTGGGCAGCACAGGAAAGAAAAAGCAAATGTACAGCTTGTCAGAGGGAGACTGAGAAACAGGCAAACCTCCAAAAGGCTGAGAGTTCTGCATGATTGCTTGTTGTCACATCTGGATACTTAGTCTACCAGGTGCTGAAGAAATTAGCTTGACTGGCCAATGCCTGCCTCTCAAAGGGAGTGTGTTACTGTCACGTTCAGGAACATGGCAATAGGAAAGCAGAAAGCACAGACTGTTCTACACAAGGTGCCTCATGTGCCCTGGGACTGATGTCAACTCTCTGGCACCATTTCTATGTGTTTCATGAAAATTACTGACAAATCCAGAGGTTTTTCCTGGTTTTATTTTATATCTCTGCTAAAAATGCTGTTTTGATGGACACTTTGCAACAAGAAGGTTTTATCCTGCCAGGTCATGTCCCTTTTATGAACAGAGCACTCATACAACCAGCCATTAATGCCACAGATGGCACAGTGGTCCCACGTGAGCATGTTGATTTGTACAACACTGCTCACAGGTGTCCATCACCCTGGCAGAGCACAAAGATATATGTCTCCAGGCTCACAGGCACCATTTTGTAGCAGGGCACAGTTGCTTGCTGGGGAGCTGCTGCAGAATCTCTGCCTGTGCAGGACAGGAGGACTTACTTTGTGTATGAGCAGGAAGCAGAGCCTGGGCAGTTTGGAAAAGCCTATCATCGGAAAGGATGCTGGCAGCTGTATGCAGAGGTAGCTGCAGGGGTAACTCTGGTTTAACAGAAATTAGCACAGTCCATATCTCCACAGGAGCAGAGCTGAAGAGAATAAGCACACAGCACTTTCCATCTTCCACCATCACTATTATTGTTATAAAGGGAGCAGCAAAAGCAACATGGTCTGTTTTTCAGTGGTTTTGTTTTCTTTCCCACGTGAGGAGAATTATAGCAGCAGAGGAAAAGAAAAAGGTTCTGGAGACCAGACAAAAAGTTTCTCATGATATTTAGGGGGTGGTGGGCAGAGGAGAAAGAAAGCCACTGAGTCCTTTCCTGCCAATGCTTCCCTACTGCTCTCCTGATGCAGGAGGTAAGGGTGGCCATCAGGTGGCCACATTACTTTCTGCAATATTTAATTAGAAAATGAAGAAGAAGGTATGAGCCTAAGTCTTACCCACCAAGACAGCCAGCTGCCTAAAATCTGCAATATAAAAGCGCCTACCATTTGGCCATTTGTCTAAATGAAATATCTTTACACTCAAAAACAAAATCACAAGTCACATATGACACTGCACAACAGAAATAAGCATGCCCTAAAGTCTTCACTCTGAATACACTCACACAAATTTGGTATTAAGATGAACTGTGCTTGTTTGAACAAAACTGAGATCCCTTAGATCACAGTTGCATGGAGTTTTGTAGTCCTTTAATTGAGAATAGGAGCAGCTAAGAGAAGTGGGTTTGTTCAGATTTAGGAAGAGAAGGCTCAGGGAAGACATTACTATTGTCTTAAACTGCCTAAAGGCTGGTTTGAGGCAAATGGAGATAAAGGCATCTTGAAGTTGCACAGAGAAAGGATAAGACCTAATAATGCAAGTTGCAGCATGAATTATTAAATATTTGGAAAAACTTGTTGATAATTAATGTGGTCAAATATTCATACAAAGGTCCAGAGAAATTGTAATTTCCTTTCTTGCACGTATTCAAAACTTGACTGAACAACACGCTCTAGCTTGGCCTGCTTGGACCAGTGGATTGGACCAGAGACCTCCAGAGGTTCCTTCCAACTGATGCCACTAAGTGACTCTGTGATCACTATACAAATAAAAGAAACAGAAAAGTTGATCCACAGCAGTAGACAGAGCTTACAACAAATAAATCTATCCTGTGTAATGCCCACAAAAACCTACTGCTGTACAAGAGATGCTGTAGAGAACCCTTTGCCAAGTTTTTGACTTCATAGAACTTACAGCAGGGTAGTTTTTATAAGATGCCTAATACACATTAACCTGATTTTGTGTAGGCTTCCGAATCTCCAGTAGCACATAAGAAGGTCCTCCTGGTAGCTTCTTTATTCTCCATGCAGGTGGCTGATCCCTAATCTCATTAGAATTTTAATTTTCAGTAGTTACTGATGTTGCTTTTTGTGACATTAATGAGACAAGTTTTCAAGCCAAACCTTTCAGAACCAAACATCCAAGAAAGTATTTTAGGATCCTGCAAGATTTCCTGGAAGCAATAGCTCTGACCATCCCCATTTGCTGTAAAGAGCACCTGGGCATTTCATGCCTACTTTTCCAACCAAAAGATGCCCTATTGGGAGTAGTCGGAGGCCAGATTATAAGTGATAAAGTCTGCAGCAGAGAAAGGAGGTGATTCTGAAAGTGAAATGGGACAGTAAGCTGGGACCAAAAATGAAAGAAAGATTCATAGGAAGGACAGAAGGAGCCATAAACAAGAAAGAGGTCAAAGGCCCAAGCTCTACAAACCCAGTAAAGACTTCAGGTTTCCTGCAGGAGACCGCTTAAAAAATGAATCTTTTTTTTTTTTTTAATTGCTCATTATTTATTATAGTAATACCTAAGTTATCAACATGGTTTGACATCAACCTGAAAGACTCTGAAGCATTCTCACAGACATTTGATGTTATATTCCTCACATCCTCATTACCCCTAAGCTAGGAAGAAAAGATAAGCCAACAGTATTTTGTGTAGTTTTTGAAAGGCTTTTGTGATGCTATCTATTAACATTTCATTGCTGCAAAACCCTGTGAAGGGGGCAGCATACTAGTATTTAAAGGCACCAGGAAAAGGTGGCACTCTCCTATTGCTTTACCTCTGCCTTTTGCCAAAGGTTCACTGTTTACCAGAGAGGATTTGCTAGTTTATAGCACACTGATTGTTGTATTTTCAGGTGATCTAGGCCACTTCTCCTGGCAGGGAAGTAGCTGTTTTTTCATAATGAGGCAGCTGCTACAAGGTGCAAACATTACTTGCCAAAATCATCAAAAAACATAATTTTTTAAGTGCTGCCTTTGAGAGTACAGACTAGAGAATGAGTAGTTGTCTGCTGTGTTGGAAACCAGGCTTCTTTGTTACAAGCATTTTGTAAGATGCAGTGATTCATAAATCTGCCTCATCTTAGAAGTTGCAATTACTTAAAATAACCACATCATAAAGCTGATTTCTTTTTCGTTTTCCTTCTCAGAAAGCACAAGACTCCTTGATGTCTACCTCTTCCTATTTGATGATTTCCTATTAATTACCAAAATTAAACGTAACAGAAAGGTAATAATGGACAGAGATATCCATGGTTGCAGTTATGTTTTTTAGCTTGGCAAATATTTTGAATGGAATTTGGAAGACTGATATAACGATAAAAATACAAGATGACTAACTGGCATGAAGGCTGGGTAAAACTTCCTTATGCTAATAGCAAACCATAACACTGACTCAAAACCCTACTTCTAGGCTCAGTATGTTACAGGAACACTATGACAGGCAGAATTTACATTACAAGACCTTGAAATTTTCCTGGTGCTGGATTCCTAAAGCTCAGAAAAGTTTTAAGAATATAAGAAGTTTTCTAATGATCCCTTCATTACTCAATCCAGCAACCTGAGAAATTTTTATCCCAAAGACATCAGGACTGTTAGAAAGAAGTAAAAAATCTTGGTTCCAACTCAGTTTATTGTACGTGTCCTCTCTTTTCCTTAATTAATAGAGATATAATTACTCTTTTTAAGAATTGTTTTCTTTATGAGAGATGCCATATATAAAGAGTTTTATAAATGATAAATATCTATGTTTAGTCAACAAAAAAGGCACTGGATTTCCTGAAATTCCTAAAGCTTCAGTGTATTGGTGCATCTATTTAATTAAGTTTATTAAGCTGACGTAAATTAAGGCTAAGCAGACCTGTGTTAGGATAGAGAAGTTTGTGACTGATTTAAAGACTTTTTAAAATTTTTTTATTTAATTTTTTTAAGAAGCAATTGTTCTGCTTTTGTAGGAGATAGACAAGGAACGCAGCAAGAGTTTCTAGACCAGCAGCACCATCCCTTAGCAATGTGGGGGGCGGGATATGAAGGAAGCAAGAATTCAAGGTGCTCTCAGGCAAGTCTCTTTGAGGGTTGCCCCACATACGTGTTGGTGAACCTTCCATGAAGGTTGCAACTTAACGGGAGACCCAGCAACTAAAATAAGGGGGGAAAAGGGGAAAAAACCAAACTAAAACAAAACAAAAATACTTCTGAACACCTTAGACTGACTGTTCTCTGCCTGTGAGCTTGTATTGTGTTTCTGTTGGTGGTGAAACACTGGAACAGGTTGCTCAGAGAGGTGGTGGAAGGCCCATCCCTGGAGACATTCAAGGTCAGGCTTGATGGGGCTCTGAGCAATCTGGTCTAGTTGGAGATGTCCATATGTTTATTGTAGGGGATTTGGACTAGATAACCTTTAGAGGTCACTTCCAACCCAACACATTCTATGATTCTATTGTGGCTTTTTAGTACAAGGTGTGATCTTGCAGGACAGATCTAGATACCAATGGGTTCTGAGGTTTCTCATACAAATATGGTGTCTGTGTACCTTTGATGAGAGAAAGCACATAATTTAGGGCTGTTTAGTGCCTATACTTCATGAGCAGATGGCAGAAAAACAGCTAACCAACTTCACTTCTATTCCCAGAAATATGGGGTCTCAGACACCAGCTTAATCCCTGTCTGTCCTTCCCTCACTCCTGAGCTGCAGGCCTTCATAAGAGAGGGTGGCTTTTGCACTGTCCTAGACCAGCCCATCCCACTGGACAGACTGATACTGAAAAACATTGACCCCATCCACATCTCAGGTACGTTCCCATGTACATCTAAACATCCTCCTAAATATCACCTCAACGCATTGTGCAGGCAGCAGTGCCTGGTGCCCACAAACCACCCCCAGGTGCCTGCAGGGCAAACATTGGTGCCTCAGCACTGTGGCTTCACAGCTCTGCTCTTACTGTGAGGCACAACCTGCTAACACAGACACTGCACTCCATGTCCCCCTGCCTCTAACAGTGACTTCCATGTAGACACCAGCAACAGTCAGATATTATCCATCCACCACAAAGGAGGTATCAATGACTTTTTCTCACAAACCAAGTATTTCCTTGTCCAAACTGTCCTACCATGCTCTGTCAAACTCTGGGCCTCTCTCTCAAGTACATTTTCATTTCTGTAGTAGTTCTGCAGAATATTTTTAGGTTGCCCCACTGCCCAGTGCACTGCTCTCCTGGATGTGCACACGTGTGCAACACGGGCTCATGTAGACAGCCCAGAGGGAACCCAAACCCACCTTCACCCCAAGGGCAGCCACTTCCCTATGTGGCTGACATCAGAAAGACCTCTCTGAAATTAAAAAAGAAAAATAAAGTATTTTCTCCTTAGTTTTTCATATTTTATTTTCTCTAACTTCAGTTATGATTTGGTCCACTTTGAATGAAAACTTGTCTTAATGATCCTGAGTTACAATCAAAAGCACCTTAGCTTCAGAATGGTAATTTAAAATAAACCAAATACAAGAAGCTTTAACTTTTTTAAATAACAAAGCTTCCTGTGCAGCAAAAAAACCCCAAAAAAATTCTATCACGGTGCATTGCCCTACATTAAAATCAGAAAAGATTATTACATCTATTATTTCTTCAATCATCATCAGACAATGTGACATGAAATTGGACTGACAGCTGCATGAGGGAATTTCTATAACTTTTTTGTATTTTTCCACAGTCTTCAGCCTGAGAAATGCTTTCCTAATACAGCACGAGAATAGGTATCGTCAGTCCATAGCCGTGTTCTTGCTACAAGCCCAGACAGAGGCTGCCAAGGTAAGTGACACACTTTTTTTTTTTTTCCTTTCTTCTCTACTTACAGAACTACACTTTCCCCACAGGAGGATCGCAGCCTAAAGGTGGTCACACAGTGACAAGAATCTGTTACAGTTGTGACATTTGACCAAAACCTGACAAACCCAAAGTAACACCCCAGTGCTCTTGTCCACACATTTGTAACATAACAGGCCGTATTCTTGCTGAAAAAAAAATTCTGACTGCTAAAAAAAAAAAAAAAGAAAAAAAAAAAAAGCCTTTTCTGGTATCACAGCAAGGAAGATGGCCAGCCCCTCCACAGAAGCCAACACCAGAACAACCGGCCCCACCCAACTCACGTGCAGTAGTACTCAGATCAGAAAACTGGATCATGCTCATCTATGCATGACACACAGATTGAACAGATGGTATGAGTAATTCCACTGTTATATAAATTTACCCCTCATTTTCACACCACATCACATTTCTAGTAGCAGAGCTGTATACAACATCTGAAAGCACAGTAGGCACTCCAGAGAAGTTTTGTTGGTTTTTTTCTCCTGATAGTTGAATTTCATTCTCTAATACCTAATGCACATAAATTTGACTACAACTAATATTAATTCTTAAAAGTAAATCACAGTAGATATACTTTTTCAAGGAAAGCAACATGTGACTTTTTTTCCATTTCCAGGTCACCAGTAGGTGCTTGGAATAGGTGTCTACTCAAGAAGTCATTACCTTGTGTCATTGAAATATTACCTTTTCCTTCCAAAGATGCCTTCACGTGGCTACAGTCTTCTCAATGTCTCCCAGGTCCAGTTTATCAAAGGAAAAAAACCCTGCAGTTAAAGTTCTTTTCACTTGGATGTGGTGGCATTACTATGCTGTTTAGTGCCCTGAGCCATAGGAAAAGTAGCGTTTTCAGCATGAGTTGAATGAAGTGAATGAACCACCTTATTTCTGCTCTCAAGACGCTCAACCTCAGCATGATCAATATATTTTTCAAGAAAACTTTGCTAGCCAGTATAAGGTCATGGGTTCAGCTGAAGTCATTCTGCAAGGCAGAAAGGAAGATTATCTGGATAAGATTGACACTGGTGAGGACTGTCAGACCTGGGCCTTGAGGTAGCTAAGGTATATAAAAATGGAGACAGCAAACTGAATGAAGCCACACGTGCTACATTCCCATTGACTCATCCCAAGCAGAGGGCTGTTACGTTATGACCTGCATCTTGGAGCTGCCTCACAAGGCCCCAGCCTCACAAGGCCCCTTTGTACCAAAGCTTAGTGTCTCAACACACATCACAGCAGAAAGAGCAGGGGACTAGGGAAAATGGAAATCCTGAGGTGGGAGAAGCACAGCTAGACCTTAACCTCATACTGCTGCTAACTAATTTGTAATGTCTAATCATAGCAATTCAGAGACAACTCAGCTTCTGTGACCCAGACCACATGGACTAGCTCAGAGAGAAGGAAGTTACATATTTTTAACCCATCTCTCCAGCCACACCCCCTGCCCTCATACCTGGATGACAGCAGATAAGAGAGCTGAGAGCTGTCAGCGTGATTCTAGAAACTGAAATTCATGTCTCAGCACATGACAGATCTTGGAGGGGGACAGAACTTGTGATGCTGATAGCACTGGAGCTGTCTTAATCAGAGGAACAGGGAGCCCAAACTGCAGGGACAGCATTCAATTAATAAATACTATGCAAAACCATGCAAAATAAAAACCTGCAGCAAACTTCACCATTCCAAGCAAACTGAGCATTAAAATCCTACCTTCCAACCAAAAAGGAAACCTTCACTAGATATCCCTGGCCCCAGACAAAGACTCCAGTGGCCTGAGCATCTGGGAAATAATCAGTTCTGGGATACTTCATGTTCATTTTAGGAATTATGAGTATAGGTATGAAGAAACACCAGATAATACTAAAGGCTCTGAGTGTTTATGTATCTAAATTACTGGAACTTTTTTCAGTTGTCTTGGTTTACAAATTATTTTTCATGTTACAGAAAACATGGATGTCACAGATAGAAACAGCAATCTCCAATTACACCACACAACAAGAAACCAAGAAAAGCACTGCTTTCTGCTTCCCAGCTGAATCCTCTGAAATTTAATAATGGCAGCACCAAGAGATACAGAGAAAGATTATCATGGTGATAAAACTTGTTTCTCCCAGCACGCCTTGTGTTTCTGAAGCTAACAGACTTCTTACTTGACTAGACAGAAGTGATGAGCTTTGATCACAGGATTTACGAATAAAAATGGAGGGGGAAAATGAGCCATGCAACAAATCTATCACTCTTAGATGGTCCTTACTTCAGCAAGGGGAAGGTTCCTGCCATTGTGGGAAGTTCTAATACAGCTCTTTGTTTCCTAGAAATTACAGACAAGGGGAAAAAAACCTAAACTGGCAAGGAGAACTTATTCACCAGAAAAATCTAGAAGGGTTATTTCAAGATCAGGCAAACTGTACTAATGAACTTCACAAAATTAAAGATGTGTAGTCATAGCTCCCTGTAGTTATGCCTTTTCTGCATTAACATTGAGCTTGTGGAGGCAAATCATTAAAAGCATATATTGTGCCGACTCATTAATTTTTAAAATGATATTATTTCAGTTTCTTTAAGAAAGGTATAATTACATATAACTTTCAGTTAAACTAGAGCTGCTACAGAATATATCAATAGAAAGAACAAAAGTGCAATGATGCTGTGCTTTATTGTTTTGGTTTTTTTTACCTGAAGTTTTCCACCACTTAATGAACAGCAGATGTCGTTGTTTACACCCGTGGTAGCCTTTAGAGTTCAAATTTGCTTCACAAACTTAAGTGCTCTGTTTGCATGACACCATTTGATACTTCACTCCTATTCCAGATCTGTGGTCCACATAACGTGTGTGCCCCTGTTAATCACTTTTTTCCCCTTCTTTTTGAGGTACTGGTAGAGTACCTGCAGAACAGCCTGCAACTGCTTTCCACAACCTTCATGCAGGTTACTACCATGGAGGGAGGGTGGTCCCATCAGGTTATCCTTGGCTAATCCACCGAGATTAGCCATAGTCAAGAAAGAAATGGACTTCCCTAAAGCCAGTCTTAAGTGAATAGGCATGTCACTCCTCCCACCTTCTGTGCCCTATCTGCTAGACTCCTTCAGCAGAAAAGTTAGCCCTTAGAATATCCCTTCAGCATCAGAAATTACTTCTGAGGGAACCAAACAGAGAAGCCACACAGATGAGGACTGTGTTGGAGAACGTAGGACTGCCTTTCCAGTTGTTTGCATTATTTATGGGTAAGTCAATATGCACTTCATGGTCACCTCTACTCCAGAAATAATAAAGTTAATCATGAGTTCAGATGTTGCTCCTAACCCCTCTCCTCCCCGGCTCCACCCGACAGGTGTAACTGTGGTACAGTGGTACATGTTCTCCACTTGGGCTGGTTCACCCCCACATACAAGCTGTGGTCTGGAGGCTCTCTTTATGTATGTATGTACTTACCTGGTTCAGCACCCTTCAGATGCAGCCTAGGCTGCTGTGGTGGACATTC